GATTAAAAAAAAAAAGATAGAAAGCAAAATCAGCAAAGGGAAAAGGCATGTGGATAGAAGTAGGATGAGACCCGGTGAAAGTGTCCCTGAATCCTTTTCCAGTGGAGTTACATAGAATGTTTGGGGGTTTTGGGTTTTTTTCATTCCTCCAGTAACAGTGAAGTATTGTCTACCAGGGAAGATCATTAGAGACTTACAGCCAAAAGTCTTTATCAGGGGCTGAAGTGTAGGCGCTAAAGTTCCAGGTCCCCAGAAGGAAAGCAGGCATTCAGCATAGCTGCATTCTCTGCACAAGTGGTTTGGACATTGTTGAAAGTTTTGTGATAATGTTAGGAACTGTTTGACAATCCAGTTCTCAGACACCAGAAAAGGATCTCACAACCAGGCATTTCTAAAGACAGCCATTCCCATCCCTGCCCGGTTAACTTTCTTCTACATAGTGACATAAAGCGCTCAGTCATCTTGATCTGAATATTTCTCTGTGAAATCAGAATATTAATTGGTCCTATGCAATTCTGTAATTCTATATTTCTAATTTTCTTATCACTTGTATTTACTCAACTTCTCTAGTTTCCCTTGCCCAGTATATCTGCTAAAATTTGTGATCATTCTAATGTTATTTTTCCCTGGAAAACATCCCCTCTGTGTGTGGTCCATGGCACACCGTCAGACACTGGGATAGTCTAGAGAGAATGTGAGCGCAGTGAAGGCATTGTATCTGATGGTGATCCTGCTACGATGATGATGATGGCAATTCTGTTTTCATCTCCACTCTGCTCATTGATAACACACAAAACCCACCATGTGTTCTAAACGCTTTAGATAAATTCCTAAATAGCAAATAATAACAAGGCAATAAAGTTCACCAGTCCATCTAAAAAAAAATTAATCCCACATGTGTTTATTGGCCAGGTTGGCACAATAAATTAACTACCTCAGCTAATACCAAGTTTTTAACAAAATTCAAGGGATATCTTAACGAAATCACTGAATCTTTGCAGCAAGTTTATAGGAATGCTGCCTCACACCAGACAACAGATTTTAGATGAATCAAACATTTTACAGAAGGTCAGCTAGCCCTCACAGGTGAATGCAAAGCAGGAAGATCATCGACCACAGTGAATTAAAAACCTGAAGTGGAGTCCAGGAACTGGTAGAAAAGACTATGAAATTGCTATTGATCTGATAACTAATGAAACTGGGATCTCACGTGGTTCAGCATCTCCTATTTCAAACAAACGTCAAACATTTTGGCCTCAGCAAGCTTTCAACTCCATGAGCAGTAACTGTTGTGTTGTGCAATTATCTCACCATGAGATGTTTTCTTTTAATTTACTTTTTTCATAGATATTAGATGCCTCTATAATATCATCACTTTGGAAAACACATCTATTTTATGTATTGATCATTGTATTGGGAGCTCTTACAGATAGTATAACAATCCATAAATCAATTATATCAAGTACATTTGTAGATACTGCCATCATTTTCAAAACATTTTCTTTACTTGAGCCCCTTGATATCAGCTCCTTGTTATTCCCTCCCACCCCCCTCACCCTACTACCCTCATGAACCCTTAATAAATTATATATATATATACATATATATATTCATATCTTACACCATTCGATGTGTTCCTTCACCCATCTGGGTTTTAATTTCATTGGAATTTCTAATTTCATTTTCAAACACTGCAAACAAATTTACTACAGTTTATTTATTGTTGTTGAATATTTGGTTTTCTGCTTTGGGCTATTACAAATCACCCTACTGTAAATTTTTTGCACATATTATGGTGAGCAGATTCACACAGTGTGTTTGGTTGGTTTGTTGGTGGTGATGGGAACAGAAGCTATACTCTAAAAGAGAATGACTGTATCATAGGTACTGGATATCAGGTAGCTACTAATGAACCATCTTACAAAGTGCCAGTTTATGCCCCTATTCGATGGATGAGATTTCAAGTAGTTCTACATCCTTTTACCACTTGGCTTTATCAATTCTTTTCATGTAACCATTAGGATGGGATGTGGTGGTCTCTCATTGTGGTTTCATTTGCATTTATTTGACGATTACTGGTGTTGAGCCCCTTTTTATAAGCTTATTAATAATTTTAATATTCTCATTTGTACTGTTTAAATTATTTTTATTGAGTTCTCAGCCTTGTTCTTATTGATTTGCAGAAGTGCTTAGTATTTTTCTTCATACAATTTCTTTGTTGAATATTTCTTTTGTAAATATGCTCTGTTTCAAGGCTGTCTTTTCCTTCGGTCAGGGCTGAACTTCTTCATTTTAATTAAGTTACATTTTCATTCTTTTTCTTAGTACACTTTTGGTCACGTTCTAAGAAATCAGTGTCAAACTTCCAGGAATTGAAAATGTTTTTATAATGTTTATACTAGAAGCTTATTTTCACCATCGCATTTAGGTTATGATGCACCTGAAGCCACTATTTGTATAATATGAAGAAAGGAGTCAAGATTCTCTTATAAAAGTTGAAGACCATCCTTTCACATGAATTTCTAGGAAGGGATATCCTTTAAGTATTGTATGTCCCAGTGTTTCCAAGGCAGTGAATCTTTGCAAAAGCGCAGTGCCACATCTCTCCTCCTGGAGAGTGGCTGGTAGGCTTGTACCCCGGATCTTTTCTGTAGCAGCTCAGCAGCTGTGCCACCACAGCCCTTGAACTGGATCAGCAAAGAACAAAGAAGCTAAAATTATGAGATATTCTGTGACTTGTCCATTCCCTTACATCCCTGTGGTATGATTTGTCTGGAATAAGTTAATTTCCTCTGAGTTTGAGTTATGTTTTCCTATTGGGAATGCTTATTTTAAAAAATGGACATGTGTTAGTCTGGGTAGACTAGAGAAACAAATTCATAAACATGCACATGTGTATGTGAAAGAATTTCATATACAAGAGCAGCTGAATATTGAGAAAATGTCCCAGCCCAGTCCAGATTAAGTCCATAAGTTTTATATTAGCCCATATGTCTGATATCAATCTATAAAGTCCTCTTCAGACTCATGAAACACACACAATGACGCCGAATGCAGGACGATCACAGGCCAGTGGGTAGAGAGTCTTAGGATTCGGTGGCAGTGTAAGCATCTCAGCGTGGGCAGGGTCTCCACATGGTTTCTCCAGCTTCCAAGGCTGCATCAGGTTAGGGCCATGTAGCTTCTCCTCAGGGATGTCTCACAAGGAGTTAACAGAGAGAGGGAGTGTCTCCTATCTCCAAGGAGGAAAATCAGCAGTTCTCAGAATTCTCAGGAGAAGGTCATGCCCACCGAGAAATCTCATTGGCTATCTCCAGATTGACAGGCTAGACTCCACCCCTACACTCTTAAACCTCAAATCGACACCAGATTAGGTAACTACCACACGACATAATAGAATCTAATGAATAATCTATCTTTTAAAGTGTGACTGATTGATTTCATTTACTTCATGACCCTCCTCTGTGGATTTAAATGCATCCCTGATATCTAAATAAACTCACTCCAGCATTTAAAAACCGTGTCAAAGTAAATCTTGGTTTCATATTACTTAGTATGGAGCATAGCAAAGTAAGTGGGTACTTTATGCAACATATGCAATGTTTGATTATGTGTTGAATGGTGAAATTAAATCTGTCACTAGGTTCAGACAGAGGAAACAAGATATATCAAATGCAAAGTGTCCAATCAGTTGGCCAAGTAGCTGTCTTCCAATTTTTCTCTTTTTTTTTTTTGCACACACGAGAGAGTACAGCCAATGCTTCATCAGCTTGTTGAGAAATTTCCATTGACATTTTACCAATTCTTGGAGCCATGTATCTGGCTAATATTTTCAGTTTCGACTGCTTTCTTCAGTACCATCGATTCTTGCTTATATGCTACCTCTTAAAATGATTGA